AAAGCTAATGTGTCAATATTTTAAAAGAGTAAATATGATGACCTAGGTAATTATAGACTCAACAATCTGACACTGATCCTTAGCAAGATAATAGCAAGCCCGATATGGGAGCTGATTAAGAAAGAAATAAAAAGAATATTAGTGCCAATCAATAGGGGTTCATGGAAACCAGATCTTACCAAACTAACTTAGATAGCTTTAGTGATGAAATTACAGCCTGAAACTTCAGTAAGATGTTTGATATTTTAATTAAAGAATTACAATGATATAGATTTACCATGCCACACATTCTGAATTAAAGTCTGGTTAACTGCTAGGTCTCAGAAGGTAACAAGGGAGGAGCAGGAGGGTTTCTTATGTGGTCTTACAGGGATCAGGTATTGGCCCTCTGCTATTTAACATTTTTACCCTTCACCTGGAAGAAAACATATAATCACCACTGATAACATTTGCAGCTGGCAACCCTAAACCCTAACCAGCCTCCGCCACCTCACCGGAGCCTTAGGCAGAGAATAGCTCACACTTTAAAAAGCCAGCTGTTCCCTGTTTGATAGGCCTGGGGTGGGTGACTTCTTATGCTGTTCCCACCCCCCAGCAAAATCTCTTAACTCCCATTGGCCAATCTCAGTTTCCAGCCAATAGGAGTTGAGAATTTTTGCTGGGAGCAGAGGCAGTGTAGGAAGCCTTCTCCCTTCCTCCTCGTCATCCCCCCTTCCCTTACCTCTCATGCCTGGAGCGGATCAACGCGGAGCTGCGAGCAGCCTGCAGCAGACAGTCTGCCTCAGGTTTCTGCTGGTAAGCGCCTCCTAGCAAGATCCTGCCTGTGGCACCCCAGTTCTTCCCTTCCCCAGCCCTCTGACCCCTCCTGCATCTATACACCCTCCCAGATCTGACATCCTAATCTTCTGCCTCAGATCACAATCCCCTCCTAGCCTAGGCCGCATCCCTGTTCCCTGCCCTAGGTCACAAACTCCTCCTTCTCCCAAACTCCCTCCCAGACCCCATTCTCTTTCCTGCACCCCAATCCCTTCCGCCAAGCTCCCTTCTGCACCCAGCCTTCATGCCAGACCCCCCTGAACCTCCTCCATTAAGATCTTGGAAGAGTGTGGTCCTCAACCACTTTCCAAAATCTTGGAGTGGCCCCCCGGTCAAAAATTATTGCCCACCCCTTTACATACAGGTAGGTCGCTCAGGCCCAGGCTGTCTCATACAGGGGAGGGAGGGATCACATGAGGATTACTTATTGGGTTTAGGGTTGCCAAGTGTCCGGTATTTGCACGCACTGTCCGGTAAAAAAAAAAACAGAAAATACCCGACACATGCAATGTCCAGTATTTTCTGATTTTTCCAGCTGCGTACCGGAAGGAAACCTAGCGTGGGCGGGGGGAGCGGCTGAGAGTCCCAGCTTGGAGGTGGGGCCGCGATTGCCACCGGGAGCTCTTGGTTGTGTGAGGAGGCGGGGAAGCCTCCTCCTCGCTCATGTATCGCCAGGAGCCTGCGCGGGACAGGCAGCAAATGCCCAGGGCTGGCCAGCGGGGAGCGGGCCCATCTGCTCACTCCCCCTCCCCTCCCGGCCGG